ATACATCCTTAACAAAAAAACGCGGAAGTCATCCTACGTCCACTCAAAAAGCAATCCCTCCTCGATATACTTCCGGAGCCGCCTCCAGGCCCTCGGCTCCTGCATCCAGAACATACAGTGGCATCATAAATACTCATCCAGATTGCTTCCTCCCAATCCCTGCAGTGATTTGTGGATCCGTCAAAAACGGTGTACTTTTGAACTCTGCTCCAAAAATTGTATGGCTACGGCTGTGCTCCTTCAGGGCACATCCTGTTAATCTGCCATAACAGTTGTTTTTATTCAGCCGCACAGTTTGAAAAGCACGCAGTGAAATGCAGTTGAAGCAAATTTTTCAAATACAGGAGGTGCGTACATATGCTTTTTCAGACGGGAACAAAACTTTTTCCAGACGGGTTATGTTGCTTCTCTGCTCATCTGCGAAGCATTAAATTACATTAAGATTTGTTGCTTCTGCTCTGGCCGCGTGCAAGAAAATTTTAAAATTTTCAAGCGATTTGAGAAAAGAAGATATTTACGCCCTTCTTTCCTTTCTTAGACATGCCACCGTGATGAAATGGATAGGTGACCCTGAAATGTCAAGCGTAGGAAGAAAGGCAGTTTCTGAGGTGCTATCAGAATTAAGCAGATGCGTTTTTAGGGAATTCTGATGAGAGTCGCCTCTTGATGTCCTAATCCAATATCCATGACAACGATAGTGTGTAAAATACAAAAACAATATGTAAATATCGAAAGATAATTGTTTGCTCATGCTTTCGCCAAGGATTACCTCCCTCTCTCCGTCCAGTCACTTCTCACTTTGATTGGTAGTACAGCTCATTGTCCTCTCGAGATGTATTTATAATTTAAGCGATAATTGTCACTCACTCATTGGACATTCCAAATCGGGTCGTTTAGGGGTCAACGGTTCGCTCATTTGGCGAAAATTCTCAGTTGTACGGATGGTAGTTTGCTGACCCAGTTACCTCTTTTTTAAGGGTCGCCTTTCAATATCCCAATTTAAGGCCTTTCACCCCTTCCTTTACGCGTTTTCTCCGACCTTGACATTGGCTCATCGCGCACCCATCCCCCCAGTGACTGTGTGTGTGCGTGTACTCCAAATTCGGATTAATAAGTACCTCATTAAAATTTACAAAACAAAGAGGTTGAAGGCCAGACAGTGTTTGTAAGGTTACCATTTCGCAGCCAGGCAGTGAGAAAAAAGCGTGCTTTTTAAGAAAATGCAGTTCCTCTTCTGTCATTGTAGTACCTCATCTTGGATTATTAATGGACAATTTTCGATGATGCTACTGTATTACAATTACAAGGAGGACCAAGGGTGACTAATCTCTTTCCAGTAAAATATTAAGATTGGTGATAAGGGATCAGTCTAAACATCGTGTTTGATAAAGGCGTATTAGGAATCAGTCTGTTTTCATTCATTAGCTGTAGATGCAGAAACAGCACAACGTGCAAGTGGAAGTGGGAATCGCTCTCAACACAACTGTAACACAGTCATAAATTGAAGCAAAACAGAGTGCTTCTGTTCTCGATATTTGCTCGAACGTTAGTTTTTGAAAGAAGACCGTCCAAACAGTGAAAACTACATGTCCCAAACCGATAAATAGCATATTTATGATTAATTTTTGGTACAAAATTGGCAGAATATTACGAAATGAGTGCAGACAGGAAA